AGGCTGGCAGGGAGCAGTGCCCTAAAGACAACTTTGGATGAAAGTATGCCAGGGTGCCAAACCAGTGCACTGAACTGTTTTTCTCTTCTTTTTTTTCTTCTCTCTTTGTTTCTTGTGAGGACTATGAGACCAGCAATCTTTGTTAAAATCATATTGACCTGTTGATAAAGAGGCATAATTGTACAGTAGATCTTTCTTAGTTAAGATCTGAGTAAGCTAGAGTATCTTTGATGTTTTATAAAAATTTAAGAATCAAGTATTGTCATTTAATTAAAGGACTATGAACACAGCTAATGAGTGTGCCATATAGAGCAGTTTGTATTCATTGAGAGAATTTTAGGGTCTTGCAAATTCACATTGCAGTTTTAGCATATAAAGAGATATTTAACTAGAAGTTGAATTCTTTTGGAAATAGAGATTATATAAAAATATTTACTTTATCTGTTTGGTTTATTTGTTCCTTAGAGGTCTTTGGGATGTGTGTATGCTCTCCTCCTTTTACTTACTAAGGTGATAACAGCTGGCTGCTAGAAACATCAAAATACTTGAGTTAACAAGGCTGTTCTCTCTCAAGACTTTCCATTTTATACTATTGGGATTGGTGACCGATATTGCATTTTCTTTAAATTTTAACCAAGGCTTAATTCAGCTACTTTGGAGCTTGCTTTTATTTTCACAGTGTTTAACAAGGCATACATAACCCCTACTTTCGTAGAGTTTTTATTTTAGCTGGGAAAAGAGATGGTAAATGAATGATTATATAAATAAACACTATTGTGATACATGCTCTGAAGAACGGGGTGCTTTTAAGCTTACATCAAAGAATCCTAATCTAATTTTGGGAGGTAAGAAAGGCTTTTCTGAGAACTAAATGTCAAGCTAATAGAAGTTAGCTAGGCAGTGCAGTTTGGGAAACAAAGAATTATATGTAGGCCAGAGCCCTGTTTTTGTTCGTGATTATATTTAATTTTAAGAAATAATGAATGGATATACAGGTCTGAAGCTCAGAAAAGCAGTCTAGTCTAGCAATATAAGCTTGGTCTATTTTAAAATAACTTCATTGCCTCACTAATTATCTTTCTCTTTATTTTCTTTAAAACATGCAGTTTTTGATTTGAGTTCTTTAAATATATTTTTTGTGTTTACAATTGCAGGGTATGTCATTTTTCACAGAAATTGCATATATATTAATCTACTAAAACTATTATAATGATGTTACATAATATTTTGAGAAAACTTTTTGTCATATAATATAGTGTGCACCATACCATTGTTGCTTCTGAGACATACCAAACAAGAAACTAAAGGTTTCATTTTATTGCATTTGGTTTTATTAAAAATTGAAAATTTCAAATTATGTTTAGGGTGAAATTCAAATAGAGAATGACGGACTATCATCCCCTTCCTACAGCTCTTTGCTCTTCGTTGTGTATCCTTCCAGAAATTTTGATTGCCCATATTTATTACAGAAACAATATCTCATTACTTTAAAAAATGCAATTATAATATGTATACTCTCTTACACCTTTCAGTTGACATCTTGAACAGAGAAGAACAGTTTAAAAATTAAACAAAACCCCTTACTTATTTAAAATAAAATTAGTTTTTCTCGATAAAATACCTCATGACACTTGGTTTTAAACAGTTTTTTTGCAAACTTGTTCAGGCTATAGAATGTCCAGAGCCCATGATGCTGTTTGTGGAACACCGTGACACATGATATTCTCTAATACTAACAAGAAGGTTTTTTTTTTGTTTGTTTTTTTTAGGAGAAATATGCCTGTTTTATATTATGAACTGTAACACCACTGCCAAAATTCTGTACTTTAAAAGAAGAAAACTAGGCATGATTTGCCAACTTGCAGGGTTTTTTTAAATTAATATTCATTTGTCGCTTGTATAGTCTTCCCTAATCGTTCATATTTTTGCTTTGTTATATGCTAGCTCTCATTAGTGGGAAAGTGTCCAGAGGCTGCAAAGGTTTAGTGTAAATAGTATTTGGGAAGAAAAAGAATTCTGTAGTGGTATTTGTGTATGCATGAAGAAGACTGCTGTGATTCACTTTTTAAAAAAAATTTACTGATTTTAGAGAGAGAGAGAGAGACATTGATTTGTTATTTTACTTGTGATGCATACATTGGTTGCTTCTTGTATGTGCCCTGATAGGAGGTTGAACCTGCAACTTTGGCATGTTGGGAGGACACTAACCAAGAGAGCCACCTGGCCAGGGTGTGGTTCACTTTTATTGGTAGGAATATCAAGGTCCATTTGCTAAGCAGCAGAGTTTTGTGGAAACTTGTCTTCTGACTTGTTGGTTTAGACCTTGGCTACCTCCTATTTATTACCTTATCCTAGAAGCATAGATAATGGGTAGCTCACTTTCTTTTTGCGTGACTAAAATGAGTAGCTAAACTACCAGTTGATTTTATCTTAACTCTTATCTGGGGTTCCAGCCAAGATGGAGGCGTAGGTATATATATTTGGCCTCCTTGCACAACCCAAAGAAGGAAACAACCAATTTAAGAACAAAATAACCAGAACTGCCAGAAAATTGAACTGTATGGAAGTACAACAACCAAGGCGTTAAAGAAGAAACATTCATCCCGACTGGTAGGAGGGGCAGAGATCGGCAGACGGGGTGGAGAGGGTGCATGACAAGGCGGTGGCTGGTGGACTGGGTGTTCCCACATTCACCTGCAGATAAACTGGGAGGAACAGCTGGGGAATGAGACAGACCACACAACCCAGGGTTCCAGCATGGGCAAAATAAAGCCTCAGAACCTCTGGCTGTCAAAAAACCTGTGGGGGTTGGTGTGGCAGGAGAAACTGCCAATCTCTTGAAAGCAGTGCGAGAGCCAAGCAAGTGGCATTGTTCTCTCTCTGACTTCTCCCCCACCCAGAGGCCCACAATGCAGCAAGAGTGGGTTGCCCCACCCTGGTGAATACCTAAGGCTCTACCCCTTACAACATAACAGGTGCACTGAGACGAAGAAATATGGCCCTAATGAAGGAACAGATCAAAACTCCAAAAATAGAACTAAATGATGAGGACATAAACAACCTATTAGATATAGAGTTCAAAACACTGGTAATCAGGATGCTCACAGAAATGATTGAGTACAGCCACAAAATAAAGGAAGAAGTGCAGGGTATACAAAGTGAAATAAAGAAAAATATACAGGGAACTAACAGTGAAGAGAAGGAATCCAGGATTCAAATCAAGGATTTGGAACAAAAGGAAGAAATAAACATCCAGCTGGAACAGAATGAAGAAACAAGAATTTTAAAAAAAATGAGGGGATGCTTAGGAACCTCTGGGACAACTTTAAACGTTCCAACATATGAATCGTAGGGGTGCCAGAAGGAGAAGAGGAAGAGCAAGAAATTGAAAACTTATTCAAGTTCTTGAAGGAAAACTTCCCAGTCTGGCAGAGGAAATAGACATGCAAGTCCAGGAAGCTCAGAGAGTCCCAAACAAGATGGACCCAAAGAGGAACACACCAAGACACATCATAATTGCCAAAGATTAAAGATAAAGAGAGTATCTTAAAAGCAGCAAGAGAAAAGCAGAGATTACCTACAAAGGAGTTCCCATAAGACTGTCAGGTGATTTCTCGAAAGAGACCTTGCAGGCAAGAAGCGGGTGGCAAGAAGTATTCAAAGTCATGAAAGACAAGGACGTACATCCAAGATTACTCTATCCAGCAAAGCTATCATTTAGAATGGAAGGTCAGATAAAGTGCTTCCCAGATAAGGTAAAGTTAAGGGTGTTCATCATCACCAAGCCCTTATTATATGAAATGTTAAAGGGACTTATCTAAGAAAAAGATCAAAATGATGAAAAGTAAAATGACAACCAACTCAAAACTATCAACAGCTGAACCTCAAGAAGCAAAAACAAAAACCCTAATCTGTTTTCTTTAAATCAAGTGTTAAATAAGGCAACATGTAATGCTTAATAAAGACTACCATAGGTTTTTACTAGAGTTTGATCTTAGAAGGAAGCTTTGTCATATATTCTAATACCATATCAAGGGCTAGAATCTTATTAAATGTAGGTTAACATATGGGTCTTTTGAATGGCGGTCCCCAACCTTTTTGGCACCAGGGACTTGTTTCATGGAAGATAATTTTTCCAGGGACTGGGAGTGGAGAGTATGGTTTTGGCTGGTTCAGGTGCATTATATTTATTGTGCATTTCATTTCTATTATTGTTACATTGTAATATATAATGAAATAATTATACAACTCACCATAATGCAGAATTAGTGGGAGCCCTGAGCTTTGTTTTCCTGCAACTAGATGGTTCCATCTGGGTGATGGGAGACATTGACACCTGAAGTGTGTTGCTTATGTTCAGTCTCCTCCGTTACCTCGTTTTGGTTGCTGTCAATGCAGAAAACCCTGCTTCACAAAGATAGGATGTTGGATATGAGAGCAGGTATTTCAGTGTTTTTGTGGCAATCTCAGGATATTCCGCCTTGACTTTTCTTGCTCATCTAACATTTTTCCTATTAAAAGTATCACTATTGATGAGTGCATTAGGACTTCTCCTGCATATCTTGCAGTGGGAAACATGGGGATGCTTTGTGGCACCAGGGCAGAGTGCTGTCAGTCGGGAGCATGGTCCCTAGTCCCTCCTTAGTATTGTGGTTCTGCCATTAGGAGTTTTACTTTTCTTTGTAATACACAATGATTGATGCATGGTAGACACTTGTTTACTGTGGGATTGAATTAATCAGAATCTTGTAATGAGGATTTTTTCTTTATAAATTCTTAACAATTTGAACTTCACTTTTATTATAAAGAAACTATAAAAATTCTAAAGTTTTTAGTGCTGATTAGGTCTCTTTAAAATTTTTTGTTCATCTTTTTCAATGCTATTTTATTTTCTTTTTAGCTAAAAAGTAACCCTTTGCCTGAAACAATCTTTAAAAATAAGTGTAAATTTTTAAAAAATAGAATCACATTAATGTTTCTTGTATCCTTTGTTCTCTTAGCTTCACAATGAAGAGGATAATTCAGAATCACCCGCTGTAGAGCAACCATCAACTTCCAACCCGACACCACAGACCATGCGGACTGTTCCTGCAGCACTAGTACTCGAAACTGACTCTTCGCCCCCACCTTATAGTAGTATTACTGTGGAAGTACCTACAACTTCAGGTATTGTTGTTTTTATTATGAAACAACTAACAGTGTTTTTAATAGTGCAGGTTTTGTGTCCGTTTGTTTTTTACCAGTATGGTTTTGTGTAATAATCTTGTCTATTAATGAGCTTCTCTGGCTTTATGATTTTTGTAAGAAATCTTTTCCAAAGGGTAGTTTGTAAAATGTTTACTTTATTTATTACTTGTCTCATATTGTTCTTTTAAAAATTTAATTTAGGCCTGGCTGGGTTCTTCAGTTGCTTAGACAGTCATCCTGATATGCCAAGGTTGCAGATGCAATCCCCAGGCAAGGAACATGCAAGAATCAAGCACTGAATGCACAACTAAGGGGAACAGCAAATCGATATTTCTCTCTTTCTGTCCTTTTCTTTCTCTCTAAAATCAGTAAATAAAAATTTAAAAATAAACAAACAGTTAATTTAAAAGTATACCTATTTAAACTTTCTTATGCTTACTAGAATCTATTCGCAACAGAATAGCATATAACTTTTGAAAGAAATAAACACACATGTACATATATACACACATGCATATGTAAATAACACATATAACACATTTGTGTGTGTGTGTGTGTGTGTGTACTCACATAGTCATAACACAAGGTGCTATTGATGATGAGTGTGAGAATGTGGTATGTGTTCTCGGAGGTATAGGGTATGTACATGATATTATCTCATACACATGGTAATAATTCTTGGGCACAAGGCAGTGATTTCTGCCTGCTACTGTTCATCTTATCTTTTCAGGTCATTCCAAAGAACTACCCTCTTCTCTATTTCTTAGGCTACAATTCGCATTTTCCCTAGGAACTCTAATTCAATCATTATAGTGTTTTAAATATGACTTTATATACTATTATAAATAACCTCAATATTTCATATATTTATTATAAAATATTTTAAAAATCAGTTATTGAAAAACATTTTAATATAAAAACCTTTAATCACAGTGTATCATCTTTCGTATCTCTTACTCTATAATTCATGTCATCTACTTCTCAAACTCACACTAGCTTTCTCTGGTTATCATTTTCGCTTGTTCAGATTTTATCCAGACCACATGCAATGTGTAAAAGACCCAGTATTTTTTACACCAAATTTGCTTTTTCATGTAATTAGTGAAAGTCATCTCCATGAAGTTGTTCTCACTAATTAAATTAATAAAGGCTTATTCCTGTTTATATATAATGTTATTTGATCAATGTGCTTGTTCAGCACCCAGTTTGATGCACAGTTTTTATATTGATTTATATCAGTTTTATTTGTTTGGCTATACGATTTAACAGCTGGATTGGTGCTTTCTAAAATTTATCATGGGCTAAATTTTCTTCATTATTTTACAAGTTTCCAGAGTGTATAGTACAGTGAATTTGCTATTCTAGATTAAAAAAAATTATTAATACTTGATGTGTATGAATGATAGAAGATACTAAAAGTGAAGTGGCAGTCTCTTTGTTGTGACTACCATTGCTATGCTGTGTACCAAACTACCTCAAACTTACTAGAGTAAAATAGCAATCATTTATTATTATTAATTCTCATGGCTTTGGGGGTAGACTGGGCTCAATCATGCATTTGTCTCTCAGGGTCCCATGTGGTTGTCACCTGATGGCGCCCGGGTTTTGCAGGCATCTTGCAGGCTTTCTTACTCACGTGTTTGATGCTTGGCCCGGGCTCTGACTAGGGCCCCGGGGGAGGCTGTCACCCTCACCCGTAGGGGCCTCTTGCGGCCTGCGCGTCCTCGCTGGCTGCAGGCTGGGTTCCCAGAACAAGCCTTCTGAGAGAAAGCCAGATGCAAGCTATTTCACCTTTTATGACACTGCCTTAGAAGTCACACATTGTCACATTTGCCACGTTTGGCTTGTTAGAAATGAATCACTACATTTAGTCATTAAGATTATTAAGAGATGTCTCCACCTCTTTATGGGAAGAGCTTCAAAGAACAGGTAAATGTTTTCCTAATGCCTTTTCCACCACGACCAAAATTTTCCTGTGGCAGCCTTCCCTGTTTCAATAAAGGGCTTGAGCAGGTGGTACCTAGTCATAAAATTAGGGTTTTTTCCTCCTCCAATTTTGGTGTAATGAAATATGAAGAAGTGTCTCTTCAGGTCCTTTATCCATTTTTTAATTGGATTGTTTGGGGGTTTTTTGGTGTTGAGCTTTAGAAGTTCTTTATACATTTTGGATATTAACCCCTTATGAGATATATCAGTGAATATGTTCTCCCATTCATTCTGTTGTTTTTTAATTTTGTTGTTGGTTTCCTTTGCTATACAAAAACTTTTTAGTTTGATGTAGTCTAATTTGTTTTTTTTCTTTTGTTTCCCTTGCTTGAGGAGACATATCAAAAAATATTGCTATGAACAATGTTTGTTACTGCCTCTGTTTTCTTCTAGAATTTGTATAGTTTTGAGCCTAACATTTAAGTCTTTAATCCAAGAATTTAGAATTTATTCTTGTGTGTGATGTAAGACGGTGGCCTAGTTTTATTTTTCTGCACATATCTGTCCAGTTTTCCCAGCACCATTTATTGAATAAATGGTCATTAATACATTGTATGCACTTTCCTCCTCTGTCAAGTATTAATTGACTATAAGGGCGTGTGTTTATTTCTGGTCTGTTCTGTTCCGTTGATCTATGTGTCTGTTTTAATGCCAGTGCCATGCTGTTTTTATGCTGTGGCCTTGTAGTATAGTTTGATATTAGGTAGTGTGATCCCTTCAACTTTGTTCTTTCTCAGGATTGCTGTGGCTATTCAGGGTCTTTTGTGGTTCCATATGGATTTTTGGAAATTTGTCCTAGTTCTGTGAAATATGTCATTAGTATCTTGATAGGAGTTATATTGAATCTACAGATCGCTTTGGATAGTGTGGACATTTCAATAATGTTAATTCTTCCTATCCATGAGCATGGTATATGCTTTCATTTAATTGTATATTCTTCAGATTCTTTCTTCAGTGTCTTATAATTTTCCAATTATGGGTTTTTGACATTCTTGGTTAAATTTATTCCTATGTATTTTATTCTTTTTTTGAAGCAATTGTGAATGGGTTTGTTTTTATTCCCTTTTCTGATAGTTCATTGTTGGCATATACAAATGCAACTGATTTCTGGATATTGATTTTGTATCCTGCTGCTTTACTGAATTCATTTATCAATTCTGGTAGTTCTTGGTGGAATCTTTGGGGTTCTCTGCATACAATATCATGTCATCTGCAAATAATGACAGTTTTACTTGTTCCTTGCCATTCAGGTGCCTTTAATTTCTTCATGTCTGATTGCTGTGGTTAGGACTTGAATAACAGAGGTGAAAGTGGACAGCCCTGTCTTGTACCCATCTTAAGGAGAATACTGGGAGTTTTTGCCCCTTGAGTATGATATTGGCAGTGGGTTTGTCAAATATGGCCATTATTACATTTAGGTATGTTCCTTCTAGTCCCACTTTGCTGAGAGTTTTTATCATAAATTGGTGCTGGATCTTACCAAATAACTTTCTCTGTATCTATCGATATGATCGTGTGATTTTTTTTTTTCATCTTGCATTCTGTTTATGTGGTGTATCACATTTATCAACTTGTGGATATTGTACCAACCTTGCATTCCTGGAATAAAACCCACTTAATAATAGTTTATGATCTTTATCATGTATTGCTGTATTTGGTTTGATAATATTTTGTTGAGGATTTTAGCATCTGTGTTCATCAGGAATATTGGCCTATAATTTTCTTTCTTTGTAGTGCCTTTATCTGGTTTTGGGATTAGGATAATGCTGGCTTCTTAAAATGAGCGGGGGGTCTTCCTTCCTCTTCAACTTTTTGAAATTGTTTGAGAAGGAGAGGTGTTATTTTTTGAATATTTGGTAAAGTTAACCTGTGAAGCCATCTGGTCCAGGGCTTTTGTTTTTGGGAGCTTTTTGATTATTGTTTCATTTTCAGCACTTGTAATCCATCTATTCAGATTCTCTGATTATCCTGATTCAGTTTTGGAAGAATGTGTTTCTAGAAATTTATCTATTTTGTCCAGTTGTCTAATTTGTTGGCATATAGTTTGTAATATTTTCATATAGTCCTTGGTATTTCTTGGGTGTCAGTTGTTACTTCTTTTTCATTTCTGATTTATTTGGGTCCTCTTCTTTTCTTGATAAGTCTGGTTAAAGATTTGTCTATCTTGTTTATCTTTTCAAAGAACCAGCTCTTGGATTCATTGATCTTTTGTATTGTATTTTAAGACTCTATTTTATTTATTTCTGCTCTGATCTTATTATTTCCTTCCTTCTACTTACTTTAGGTTTTGTATGTTGTTCTTTTTCAAGTTTCTTTAAGTATAAAGTTAGATTAGTTGAGATTTTTCATGTCTGTTAAGATAGCCCTATATTTAATGCTATAAATTTCCTTCTTAGTCTGTTTTCTCAGTGTCCTACAGATTTTGGGTTGTTGTGTTCTCATTTTTGTTTGTTTCAGGGTATTTTTTGATTTTTTCCTTGATCTCATTGTTAACCCATTCATTGTTTAACATGTTTTTTAGTTTCCATAGCTTTGTGTGTTCTTTGTGTGGGTTTCTTCTTGTGATTAATTTCTGGTTTCATAGCATTATGGTCAAAGAAGATGCTTGGTATGATTTCAGTCTTCCTAAATTTATTCAGACATGTTTTTTGGCCTAACATGTGGTCTATCCTAGAAAACATTTCATGTATATTTGAAAAGAATGTATATTCTGCTGCTTTGGAACGAAATGCTCTGAAGATATCAATTAAACCATTTGATCTACTGTGCCATTTGAAGCTGCAGATGCAGTTTTGTGTGTTGGCCCTTCATGATGGTGTCTGAGCCTCTAACCCTCTTTCTCTGGTGGAACCCTGCTGCCTTTCATGGCAAGATGTTATGTGGGCACCTTTCCTGGTTCTGGTGCTCAGGCTGGGGAGACTGGTTTGGCATTTAGGCACCACACTTCTCAGGGGGAACCCCTCCGGCTGCGGAAATATCCCTCGGTAACTTTAGCTGCCACCCGTGGGAGCCCTGCCGGCCCTCATGTGCCTCTGCCCTTCCTACCAGTCTCAATTTGATGACGTGGTTTCCTCCTGTAAGTTCTTGGTTAACCATATGGCTTATTTCCAGCAAGGCTTAAGTTGGTTATTCAGGATGATTTTTTTTTTTTGTAATTTACTTGTAATTCTGGTTTTGGTCTTGGGAAGAGGTTAATGTAGCTTCCACCTAGTCCACCACCATCTTGGATCCTCTCGTTGTTTTATTTTAAGCATGGGGTGTGCCAGGTTTCTGTGGAGATTATACTCTTCGACAGGTCACTTTATGACTTGTTTCATACATCTCAGAGCAATGCCAGCAATAGGTGACATTTGTATAATGTTTCATAGTTTATAGAGTCCTCCAGAATAGCATTCTATTTCATTCCATTTTAGAAAGTAATAGCCTTGCTGAGTTAGTCTTATTGACCAGAAAGTGGAACTTCATGGTGTTTAATTGATTTGCTTGAGATGACATAAATCTAGGAAGAGGGGATGGGGCTTGAGCCCCCCAGACTTTAAATCCTCTGGTTGAAAACTAGTGTCTTAAAAGATAGAAAAAAATAAGTAAAATTAACAAGTGAAAATTAAAGCGGTTGCAATTTAATGTTTCTTCCCACCTTTCATTTATTACTGGTGGGAATATTTTTTCCTATCCCTGATGTTAAAACTTTTCAAAAATTTACATACCTGTTGCTAATGTAAAGCTCTAATCTCTTTGGATAATGTGTCTTTGTTCCAGTTTTAAAAATCATTTTACTATTACTGCCTTAAAATTCATAACTATTATTTTCACTTAAATTTTGCTTCTACTGTAGGCTTTGGAACTAAAGAAATCTATCTACTTGACTATTTATTTTACTTGATTATTTACTTGACTGTTTTTACCTCCTAATAATTAGTGTTCTCTAAGAATTTATGATTCTTGCACCTTTTGGTAGATAACATTCAATATCATATTGTTACTTTGCTTTTTCTCTACCTCTTTTAAATAGCATTAAAAGAACTTATTTTAAAACCTATATACATAAAACACATAGGAAAAATTTTGCTAAAGAAAAATATGTTTTCGTATTGTAAATGCAAGAAATAATGATAGAGAATATTATGAACCAAGGTAGAAAGTGTAAATACTGTAGTTATAATAGAGGAAAGCACAGAAGTGATATCAAACATTGTGGTATGTACTATTTTTAGAATGTGCCTGTTTTTTCATGTCAGTAATTCTGGCCTAAGTCTAATCAGCTGATTGACCTATATCATTTTACTTACGTTACTTATGTTGGCAATAAGTGATAACTGTTTTTTTAAAAAAATAGTCTCTACTTACTATTGTCATATATTTCTGGAGATCGTATTTTAAAAATAGTTTAAAAATCAGAAGAATTATTCATGATAAGAAAATCTAAAGAACGAGGTTAATATGGGAAAAAATGGGAGGAGAAAGGGACAGGAGTAAAAAAGAACTAAACATCATCCACCTTTTAGCAAAGAGAAATACTGAGTTTGCTTATGAGATTAGGGCAGTTGCTAAAACTGACATGTGTAGAAAAATTAACCTCTTAAGCGAGCAAAGTATTCACAGTCAGGTAATCCCAGGGGTCTGCCACTGATTGGCTGTGATACAGGCAGATCACGCACCTGTTTGATCCTCTGAGCCACCAACATTAATGTACACAGAAGTGGCAAGTTAAATGGTTCGTACTATATATGTTTAGTATTATATCTGATATTTCTACTTTTTTGTCTTGAGATTTTGGGCGAGTATGTTAAATTCTTGGAGGATAGCACTGTTGCTTATCTTACCTTGCGCTCCTTTCCAAAATCTTATTCTTAAGGGGCTTGTTTTATGTACGAGCCTTTAGATGATATTTATCAGTCCTTTTTTCTTTATAATAAATATAGGATTAAAATAACATATATGATTGTAGTAGTAATTTCTGTGTTATATTGCATATAACTTAGTACTGCAGTAGCAGTAGTAGTCTTTAGTGTCCTGTTGTAAATTATTAAATTATGCTTTCGGCTATAAAAATTATATCAAGTAGTTCCTTTTAATGGTTATCCTTTTTTAATTCGTTTTCTTCAGATACAGAAGTTTACAGTGAATTTTATCCTGTGCCACCTCCCTACAGTGTTGCTACCTCTCTTCCTACCTATGATGAAGCTGAGAAAGCAAAAGCTGCTGCAATGGCAGCTGCAGCAGCAGAAACATCTCAAAGAGTAAGAAAATTCTATTTCCTTTTGAGGTTATTCAGATTTAAAAAAAAACAGCAGGTCTGGTTAGCACTTGAGTATAGTCATACCTTGGGGATATTGCAGGCTTGGTGCCAGGCTGTTGCAGTAAAGTGAGTATTGCAGCAGAGCGAGTTGTAATGTTTTTGTTGGTGAAAGGTCTTGCCTTTAATATGTTTAAAAAAAAAGCAGGGGTTGGGGGGAGACAGTGCAGTAAAGCAAAGTACAATGAAAGTGGTGTTAAGTCTGTATATTCAGTTGTAAATGAATCTCTCAGCTGGGTGAGCTGAAGCCTCTTTCCTGAATCTATTCTCACAGGAAAGTAAGTGGCCAGGCTTGGATACATTAATTTTTCTACTTTTTTCTATTTCTCATGTATAGGGTTGTATGTATATTAGGGGATAATTACATAGATTTATGAAAATGGACTCATTTTTAATATTTCTATGGAAAATAATTGAATTACAAATAATTCACTTTATAAAACTTCAAGGTATGGCTTATGTTTGTTTATCAGTTTCATTTTACAACCTTGTAGTGGGTAGAATTTGTTTTTTTGGAACTTGTTTTAAGTTGTGTGTAACTTGTCTTTTGACATAAAAACTAGCATTTGATAAATTGTGAGCAACTCTAGGGACAAGGCCATTTTTAGCACATAGCTATTATCTGGGGCATATTTGGTGTTTAATAAAGGACAGTCAGTTAATGAATGCTTCTTTATATTAGCCAATGTGGGAAATGAAGAAGAAAATACCAGAGGTGTTCCATTACAGCTCTTCATTTTAAAATATCTTGGCGTGTTTACCAATATTAGAATTTTTATTTTTATTTATTTTTTATTGTATTTTTTCCACTATCCAGTTGTAGGTTTTTAAATCAGTGTTTAACATAGTTGAAATTATTGCACAGGCAATATGTATAAACATTAATATCTTAGTATATTTTTGCACACAAAGGGCATTGTGCTATACAAATGATTTTCATTTAATACATTTGGGAGATCATCATGAGAATATTAAGAACTCTTGTTCTTTTTTACTTAAAAAGTTTTACATTACTTTTCAAATTTCATCAGATACTCAGTAACTTTATTTTATTGGTCTGTCAAGAATTGTGAATGATTTGAGACTACCATAGTTTCAAACTACCTGATTAGCTTGTCAGTTTTGTGAATGTTGGGTCAGACACTAGAACTTTATTATGCACATCAGTAGCCACAGTCAGAGTATTAGCATTTTCTAACACCAGCTTCCTGAGCCTTAATTCCCACAGAGTTACACAAAGACTGCCATGTGATGCCTCCACACATAGCATGGGACCCTGAGTTTGGGGAGCCCAGTATTTTCTAATGGTGAATAAGCCATACCCACACCGTTGCTCTGGAGAGAGGCACCGTCCCTCTCTCAGAGCAGTCTGCTATGTGAGCGTCCTGGGAAAGATAGTACAGAAGAAAGGCAACCAGTGCCTCTACCTGGAACGCGTGCAGAAACATAAAGAGACTCATGGAAAATTATCTGACAATAGTCCACTGTGATGAGAATTTATGTTTTGTCTAACCTTTTGCTTTTATTTATGTTGCTGCAGTGAATTATCTTTAATACATTTCTCGTAAGTGGGAGTAAATGTATACCAGGTCTGTCTGGGGAAAGTCCGTCCAGCCTTTGTCAGTAAAACGAGAATAGTTTGCATCAATGTAACCTGGCAGCCAAGGAGAATGGACTGGAATGCGCATGCGTGAACAGTGACGCCTTAACTGTGCTAGTCAGTGGGGGCAGTAGACACCATTGAGTGAGCATTTGTACTGTGTGGCTGTCCCATTCAAAATGAGCGGGCAGAGCAACGAATCTGCATCACATTTTTCATTAAGCTTGAACATTCCTCTGTGGAAACTATTTGGATGAGTCAGAAGGCTTTTGTGGACGATGCAGTAAATGAGTGCAGAGATGCAATACATGAAAATGGCCACAGTTGTGGGTAACTGGTGATTGGCAGCTTCATCATGACAAGGCACCTGCTCCTGCGTCACATCTCATGCAGAGTTTTTGGGCAAAACATCAACTCACCCAGGTGACTCGGCCCCCACAAAAGCCCAGATTTGGTGCCCTGCAACTTCTGGATTTCCCAAAACTAAAATCACCTTTGAAAGGAAGAGATTTCTGATCCTTGATGAGATTTGGGAAAATAGGACAGGGCAGCTGACGGCGGTTCCAGCAAAGGATTATGCAGAGCAATTTGAACAGTGGAAGAGGTGTTGGGAGAACTGTGTGAGGTGCCAAGGTGCCTGCTTTGAAGGGGACCAGGCGCCATTGTCCTGTGTACAATGTTTCTTGTTTCTTGTATCTCCTTCAATAAATGTCTGTTTTTCATAGTACATGGATGGATACTTCTAGTACAGATACTTCCGCATATATCTGTACAGTGTGTTTGGAGAGCTGGAATTGCTGGGTCAAAAAGGGTGTGTGTTCATTTTTGTGTTTGATAAATTTTGCCGCCATTGATTATGAAAGTTCCTGTTTTGCACTTGACACTAATGTAACAATGTCACATCTATTTTTCTTGATACCATTTTCATTAACTCAAAGTTACTTATCTTTTTTGTATTTACCTTTGAAGTTACTCTTTTCAAGGGCACCCATTAAAAATGAACACTTCCTACACATTATCTTATTTTGACTGTACAACAATTAGATTTTATTTAAATTCTTATCTTTATATTTAAGGCAATAAAGTTGTTATTTAGTGAGCTGTTCTAATGTCATGTTTTACAGATTCAGGAGGAAGAGTGTCCACCAAGAGATGACTTTAGTGATGCAGACCAGCTCAGAGTGGGCAATGATGGGATTTTCATGCTGGCATTTTTCAGTAAGAGATCTTTCCTTTGCAAACTACATATATATTATTATTTTTTGCATATGTTGGCAATGAGTATAATAACAGTGAAGAAGGGCAAATACTGTTACCATGTATCTGCATTGTTTAAAAATGTAAATTGTTCCTGATACTAGCTAAGTGTGATCATGGTACAATACAAACCCTAGAATTTATTAAATACTTATCAGATAATTGTGTATTGTAGTCATCATGCTTGGTGTTGATTGCGTGGAGATATATAAGCATGTTTATGTTAAATATGGTTTTGTATGAGAAATGCTACATGTTTATATATTGTAGGAGCATGTAGAAGGAAACTATAAATTCTGCTTTTGAGGCAGAGGACTTCCATTTGAGTGTCTTTAAACCAGAAGAGAGGTTGGAAAAGGAAATACTCTGGGCAGCTAGAACTATGTGATTTGAGACACCAAGTATGAAAGTGTAGGTCTTATTTGGAGGGAATGGTGAGTATTTAGAAGCCCAGAAACCTGAGTTACATTTTGTAACATCTTGCAAAATTTTTAATTTAATGTCTGACTTGTAAAGTAGACTTAAGATACTTGAGGGAAGACTGTGTTGCAGTCTTTATTATTCCAGTTCCTAATTGGCACATTGTAAACTCAGGAAGATTGTGAAACTCAACAAACTGTTTAAATTGCTAAAATTTGTTTTGGAAACCTAATATTCATGTAGGTAAATTTATTAGTTTATGATATGGTTAATTTCTGCCCTTTATTTAAAGGACCAAGTTTTCATACCTTCTTTAATAGAATGCTAATTTAATTCATTTTTACTTATGATTTATTTTGATAATAAAACTGAGGAATAGTTTAACTTACTTAAAGAACCACACACAATTTTAAAAGTGAAAAATGCATACTTTTCGAATTGAGTTAACTTTTGAGTCTGGAAACTCACCGACCTCTTCTTCCATTTTGAAATGGTTTCTTGCTTCCTTTCTTTTATCTTCTGAAGAATAGATATAGATAGCCATTCAGAAGTGGGTGGGTGAATGGGCTGGCAATTAGATTTTTCTCTTCAAATTTATTAAGTTATACTTAGGTTGGTGCCAACTCATGTAATGCAATATTTAAATCTCATGGTTTTAGTTACAGTGTCTAGTTAAATACGATGTTAGATACTGTGTAAAGGAAATGAATGAATGCTTTAGCTCCAAGTAACTATTGTTTTTTTACTGTTAGTCTACTGAACCTTGCTCTTTTCCTTAGTTTTAGTTCAGCTGATAGCCCTTTATATTGATAGCACACTTCCCATGTATTTTGATTACAGGAGTCGCGTAAATACTGATTCCTTAATTAGAAAAGAAAGAATTTAAATTTATTGTACTGTGTGTAGTATAAAGACCTGTTTCTTAGGAATAAAAACATGTTATTTGACACCATCTAATTATTTGACTCAGCTTAGTTATTGTTTCTCCCTTTTTGTAGTTCACTGAACCCTACTGTCTTCTTTTTAGTTTTATATTTTTAGATTTGAAAACAGTTCACTAATGCACAGTGTTGTAAATGCATGATAAACTAGACACTTGATTAACTTTATTTTTGGCCAGTGGTGGCATATTAATTAATGTAAAGTTTATAGCTAATATATTTAATGTAAATTATCTGACATACTAAATTTTGACTGAATTATGCATTTACAATTTATACTTTTACACTATTTCATAGTCTATAAATATTATACAGATATTATAAGAGTAAAATTATAAATTAGTTATTATCTTTATTTCCTTACATTTTTTTTCCTGGTGGGCTGTATAGGTCAGAGCTTGAGTGCTTGCTTAAAGAGCATAGATTTATTTGTGTTCACTGCCATCTAGTGGCTGTTCTGCAAATTGCAGCTTGCTATATTTTTCATGCTCCTTAAGCTATCTAGCAGCTGTTATCTCAATTAAGTTCAGTTGTCTATTTGTAAGGTTAAGAAATGGATTTTCTTTAATGTGATTTATAACTTAAGCGCTTCTGGTTATATAAATTGAACAGATAAAAGTGCAGTGAATATCAATTACAACATTTTAGTTAAAACCTTTTGTTGATTTAATTCTTGCTTTCTCTGTTTTCATTGTCTACATTTCTGTCTCTTGCCACATGTAACCCTAAAATAAGTTTATACCTAAATATGGTAAAATAATTGCATGTTCATGCTCAGAAAATATAAAGAAATGTATGTATCCCCTGATGTTTTAGCTTCTCATAATCCCTTGAAGTGTCACTCACTGCAAAATGCCTGTTACATATCTAACCTGCCCATCTCTGATCTTGTATTTATCAGATGTTCTCTCAAGAGAAGGGAATTCAGGTTTTTATCAGTTAAGGATTAGAAATTAAGATTTTGTTCACAGGATAATTGACTGTCTGTGAAAATGACCCTCAACTCTAGTGCTTAAAAATGTAGTGGGCTTTATCTAGAAGTTTTTTTCTTCTAAGGTTGAGCCATTTGTGTCATGTGTGAATCTGCACATTAGTAATATGTAACAACTGATCACCTGCATTATTTCCATTTTAAACTAGAAGGTCTTGTGATTAAAGAGAAATTAAGTTAATTGTACCTTTAAAAAGAATTAGAAGAGTGTTTTGAAGTGTGAGTTCTGACTTGTAAGCAGTTAGCAGACTGTCTGTCAAAGTGGCCGTACCATTTTGAATTCCTACCAGAAGTGAATGAGAGTTTCTGTTGCTCTGATCCTCATCAGCATTTACTTTTGATATTTAAAAAAAAAAATTCCAACCCATGGGCAAAGCCAAAGTGGGGAAGGATGGAGGTGGGAGGTGGGGTGGGTGGGGCAGGGGAAAGTGGTGGTGGGAAAATGGAGACAAATGTATTAGAACAATAAAAAATAAAAATAAATAAAAGGGGTCCAGCATCCATATTTATACCAGGTATTGTCTTGTAATTAAACCATGTCTACATATACAGGTATAGTTCTTAAAAATACATTTTTGGTACTTAGACTAATAAAATGCAAATCTACTTAAAAAGAGTCTTTATCTTCAGAGCTTTTATATATGTACCATATACCAGTATAACTACATGAAGGAATTGTGATTTATTTTTTCCATGAAGTGGTACCTCTAATTGGAGAGGATTGGGAAATGCTGAGTAAACTATCTTAACATTTCAAAAAAGAATGGACTCAGAAAACTGAGTCAGTACTTTATTCATGAGAGATATGATTAACTTGGTTACCATTGAAAAAATTAGTTGATGATCTCACTAATTAAAAGCAATGTTTTTTATGTCATGGAAAAAAGACATTCATATAGGTGTGTGGTGGTATGTCGTTGTTTTAATTTGCATTTCCCTAACAATTAATGATGTTGAGCATCTTCAGTAAATTCTGAGCACCTGCCATGGACAAGTCATAAAAGTTACAGTTATTAAAAGGGTTGTCTTAGCACCACACATTACTGAAAAACAGTGTATTAATGATTTGTTCTGTGCATGCAGAGCTGTGTTTTTGTATAGTTTTTAGGTGGCATTACATGTTATAAGTGAATCCAGAAAGACAACGTTTAAGAATTGTTAACTATATCTTTAAAAACTCATGATATTTATTGAATTTGTTTTATTTACAAAATAATTTTTTATTTAATTCTCTGTAATTTAGTGGAAATGCACGAAAACTAACCCATTGTTAGCATCATGCCTTTCTTAATGGCTAATAGTTTAAACAAAGAGCTTAAAATAAGACAAATTTATAATCCCTATGTAGTTCAGAATTAAATATAGTGAAATCGATCATTCTCTGAGGTCTTACTGTGTTAGAAACCTGGTACATTAAAATGTAATGAGAATTTTTCTGTGATCAAAAAAATTAGTAAGTTCCCAGTGTTTGTATTATATACATATTTAACAAATCTTCATTTATTTTCAAAATAAATATCAAGTTTTTAAAAGTTTAACATTATTTTAAAATACTTTATGACTTAGGAAAAAGTTGTAAAAATAGTAGTTTCCATATAACTTTATCCAGCTTTTCCAAGTCTTAACATTTTATATAACTTCAGTCCAGTAATCAACACTTGGAAATTAATATTCATGAAATACTAGCTGGTTTATAGATCCTATTCAAATTTTGCCAGCTGTCTCACTAATTCCCTTCTCGGTGTGTCGTATCAGGAGGAATGCTGAGAGCTTGTCTTCGCAGTAAAGTTACTCTTTTCCCCCTATTTTTTATTTTTTGTCTTCACCTGAGGACATGCTTATTGATTTCAGAGAGAGAGGAAGGGAGGGAAAGAGAGAGAGAGAGAGACACCAGTGTGAGAGAGGAACATCAATTGGTTGCCTCTCATATGCTCCCTGAATGGGGACCAAACCTGCAACCTAGGCATGTGCCCTGACCAGGAATTGAACCTGTGACGTTTCGGTTTTCGGGCTAATGCTCTAACCAAGCTACGGTGGCCAGGGCTGTTTCCCCCTTTTTAATGAATAAGTATCTTATATTTACTGAAAATTTATAAAGATACAGCCTTTCTATTTAATGGGTAAACTATAGTGTACATTATTACTTTTACTTTCTAGGTTATCCTGCTAACCTTTGTGGATAGGTGAGGGGTATAGATGGTGAAAAGAAACTGTATATAGTGGATGAAAGGCTTGGGGGCTTCAGTACTATCTCTGCCTTACTTTATGACTTTATGTGCAGCTTAACTGTTAATTCTCAACTTGTTCTGTACGGTGGAATTAATTTGACTTTGTTCCTCTTAAAAAGCTAATAGAAGGAACAAATGAGTATGAAAATGTATGTTGTTGAGTGAAGGTGGTGGTAATGTTCTCTTTCCCCATCCTTACCTGGAAATTAACTTTTTAGTTATAATAAGAAATATGATTTAAAATGATTCGCAGCCTTATTTCACATGTCATGAACCTGTCCAAACCTGCCTGCTTTGCTTTCTTACAAAGAAGAGTACTCTGAAGGTGAATGTGGAAAAGTGTAATTGGAGCAAAAACTACGTTTTCTTTACCAGCTTTTCTGAGTTTATTGCCTTCCTTGCTTCCCCAAATCTTACCTGAGGAATATAGGCTCTGCGAGCTTGTTGCTTCTTTGGGTTTCATCGTGTGGCTTGCTCTAAGGGGAATAGGTGCCCTGTATTTTCTAAGCTTCCTTATTTACCCTAGGTTTCCAGGGGAACATGGCAGGAATGAAGTCGAGTTGTAAGAAAGGTATCGTATTCTTTCCTAGGCATATGTTCCCCTGCCTCTCCTACATGTTGTTTCTTTCATAGATATTACAGATTTACAGTTTAGTGTATACTTACTAAATTTTCTTTTTTTGCCAATTCTGGCATGTCATAGAGGATCCAGAATTGAATCCAGAAATAATTCTGCCCTTAAGGACCTATTCAACTTTACTTTCTTATAAGCAAAAGGGGCATAAAACGTGAATTTATCTATGCTCAAGTGATCACTCACTTCACAGTCTTCCTCCTGCTTAAACCAATGAACAGTTAAAGATGGTTATGCTTTTCTGTTTGGTCTGCCTTAACAAAATACCACAGACTGGCTGGCTTACAAATGGAATTTGATTTTCTCTGAATTTTAGAAGCTAGAAGTTCAAGATCAGGGTGCCAGAAAATTTGGTTTCTGATGTAGGTTCTCTTTCTGGCTTGCAGATGTCTGTGTTCTTAATGTGTCCTCATGTGGCCTGTCTTCTACATGTATGTGGAGAGAGACCTCTCTAGTGTCTCTGTCCTCTTCCTGTATGGACAACAGGCCTGTCAAATGAGGGTTCTACCCTTATAACGTCATTTAATATTAATTACCTCCCTGAAACTTCTCTCTACATACAGTCACATTGGGGGTTAGCGCTTCAGTCTGTACATTTGGAAGGGTCACAGTTCAGTCCATAACAAGTTGTCGCACCTGAGCACAGCTTGTAGGGATCCATACCACTGGCAGAAAGCGAAAAGAAAACACGATGACTTGGTAAAATACTTCTTTGTTCTTTTGGATTTCATTCCTAGTATGGGTTCAATGATATATATGATAGATTTGAAGAAATTAATTGGACAGTGCTTGAATGTATACTCAAAGGTAAAAATATATTTTTGGAATATTTTGCTGTTTCGGGTTTTCTTCATCAGCGCTTCCTGTGCTTTAACACTACGGCGTCCTTAGACAATGGTAGCATGCGCACAGCATGGTATAAAGGGACTGGGATAAAAGAAGAAGGTGCTCAGGGCTTGCGAAGCTCTGTCCTCTGCCCCAGACCCCACCTGCCTGCCCTGAGGCCCGAGGAGAGAAATACCTCAACCTGTCACTAACACACCTGTGGCAGCAGTTAGGCATCCCTGCTGCTATACGTTGGTGTAAATTCTTTATTTTAATTAGACGCAAAATTAGTTTTGATTGGCTGTTTTGTGTTTTCTGCCACAGGTAACGCAAATATTAGCCAATTAGATAGGAAGCAGTTATGTCTCATAATATTCTATGGTGATGGAAATGTTCTGTATCTCTCCTGTCCAATAATATAACAGCTACAAGCCACAGGTGCCTCTCAAACACTTGACATGTGGCTGATGCAAGGGAGGAACTAAATTTTTAATTTTATCTAGTTTTAATTAATTTAAATTTAAATAACTTCCTTCATAGAGGAGGATGAATTCCTGGGGGCACAAGGAAGTAGCAGTGTGTCTAGTGGCCTTGGATAGCACAGAAATCTAGGTTTAAAAAAAAGGAAAAAGTTAAACGTTATATCCAGTAGTGTATCTTGAAATTCTTTTCCCACAGAAAAGATAGTACGTACTCTGTAAGGTGAAGAGATCATTTTATATGGGCAGTAATGACAGCTAACACTTCAGAAACTACCGTGTGCCAGGCTCTGTCCTGTGCTAAGTTCTTTACACTCATTATCTCACTTAATCCTCTTATCAGCCTTGCGAAGTGGTTACTTACAGATCAGAGAACTCCCCGAAGTCAGCAGTGAGTCCAAGGTCACATACTTAGTACACTGGGACTCAAATACAGGGCTCATATTTCAAAACTCCCATGTTTAAATACAGCTTCCCAAAGAAAACTGAGACTTCAGAAAGCATGACAAAGGAAGAAATTATTAGAATAGGGAAATTGTTTGAAAAAAATAGCTCTTTCATTTAAACTTATCCTAATATGCTTCCTCTTTATCTTCACAATTCTGAAAAATCAGAATTTCTTAGGGCAATTTACTTTGTGACTCCTGGAGATAGGTAGGGAAGGGGCACTACACAGAACCAAATCTGCGCTCACATTGATCTTCAGAAGTTTTATGGTTATTACTGTGATTATTTTGATAATGTTGACATCTTGGACACAAGTAGGGCGCTCTTGATCCTATCTCAAGGACCTGTGTCAGAGTGGTTTCAGCTACAAGTAATAGAAAACCGTTACTCAGCTGTTTTAAATGGTTAGGAGATTATCTCCCAAGACAAGAAGTCACGGGTGAGCAGCCTGGAGGCACGGAAAGTATCTGTTGTGGCTCTGCTTTCCTTAGCTTTTCTTCACTCTCCCCAGCTTGGAGTGAGGGTTTATTCCTCAGGCTGAGAGCAAGATTTCGGCAGCAGTTTTAGGTATTATGCCCAAACATCCAGAGGAAGAGGAGGGGCCGTCTCTTCTTTTGATTTACATAAAAGTAGGTAGTAGTGTGATAAATTCTTCCGTGTAGCCATCACCCAGCTTCAACAGTGGTCACTGTAGAGCCACTGTTAGTTACCTAACCTATATTCCATCCTCCCTCCGGTTGCTGTGTTTTGCTGTGCATTTAAGAACCAACGAATGTTTTTTAGAAGTACTGTTTTTAAAAATTGGAAAAGAATTCCGGCCTCCTGTGATTTTCCCCGGACTACTTGGGACCCACCTTTTGGGGCTAAATGTGGGATCCAACCTTCCCTGTAGAGTCTGTAGAGGTGTTCCTGGGGAGGGGTAAAAACAGATTCTGTTAGAGAGGAGGAAGAGGCAGTGAAGTATATCTGTTCCGGAACTTTCTTTTGTAATTCATTTGGCTCATTTTTAATATTGGCTGATTGGTTGACTCGCTCAGGCTGAGCTTCTTGAGTGGGGTCATATGGAAGCTACATTGTGACCTGGTTTTTAACTGGTTTAAAATGTGTTCCACCCATTGGTGATAAGCTTTAAGGGATTGATTCCTATTGATTAAACTGACAAGAAACTGAACTTATGCATTTGTTAGTGTCTGCTAAATTTTGCAAATTACATTGGCAAAAGGTAAACTCTTGTCTATAAAAAAAGGCTTAATTGGTAGAGTTAACAAAGGGAACTGCTACTACCATTAGGCAATGAAGAATTATTACTGTAAAGTCTCTGTTTCCAAAGTATGTTTTCTTTTAAAAAAGAACTGTTTCTCTTGCTTTCAGTGGCATTTATTTTCAACTGGCTTGGATTTTGTTTATCCTTCTGTATCACTAATACCATAGCTGGAAGGTATGGTGCCATTTGTGGATTTGGCCTTTCATTGATCAAATGGATCCTCATCGTCAGGGTGAGTGTCTTTTTTTTTTTTTTCCCTAATATTTTATTTATTTATTTTTAGAGAGGGGGAGGGAGAAAGAGAGAAACATCAATGTGTGGCTGCCTCTCGAGTGCCCCCTACTGGGAACCTGGCCCGCAACTCAGGCACATGCCTTCACTGGGACTCAAACCAGCAACACTTTGGTTTGCAGGTTGGCATTCAGTCCAATGAGCCACACCCCCCAGGGCCTGGGATGAATGCCTTGATAACCTCTATCACTTTTATCTTTAAAATAAAATATATGAGGTTTTCTGTGGGTTCATGAATGTTTATGCATATGAATTCAATTATTTTGAGACTTTTTTTAACTCCTAGACTTGATTATTATAGTGCTTTCTGTTGTGTGAACACTTATAACGGTGTTTATATGAGAGCTTGTTAGTACAGTAGCCCCCCCTTATCCACTGTTGTGCTTTCTGCAGTTTGTGTTACGTGCGGTCAGCCGTGGTCCAAAAATACTAAGTAGAAAATTTCAGATATTTTGAGAGAGAGTGGGAAAGACACAGCTTTCTCACACATTCACACAACTTTTATTGTTATAATTGTTCTATTTTATTATTGTTACCCCTTACTGTACCTAATTTATAAATTAAGTTTTATCATCGGTATGTATAGGAAAAACTGTAGTATACAGGGTCCAGCACAAATCAGACTCCCCCCTTTTTTTTTTTTTTTTTTTACAAAATCATAAGCATGTAATTCTATAATATAACATTGTCATACTCAAGCACATCATATGCCATTTTAGGTGAGGTGTTCAAATTAAAACTATAAATTATTACATCTATATTATTACCTGCCAGCCACACTCAAGCAGGTGTTCCTTCTGCTGGATCCTGTGTATAGGGCTCAGTACTAGCCACAGTTTTACGCATATTCCCTGATGATAAGAGGGGACTACTGTATATGGAAGGAGTTTTGAAAGCAGAAGAACTTGTTTGGGTCTTTTTTTTTTTATATGAATGTTCTTTGTTTTTAAGTTCCTCTGAGCATTAGTATCTTCATAATAAGCTGATAATAGCTGCCTTTCAAGATTTTTGTGAGGTATAGAAATAATGCAATTAAGATGCCATGTCTGGTTGCAGGATACATGTATTATGTGCTCAGTAAATCATAGCTACCACTATTGTTATATAAGGCAGGCTTTTCTAAATCAGTTAAACATAAAAATTTCTGTTGGTTAGTAAAATTATTGTGGACTTTAACATAAGAGCTCAAAAGTGATGTAGGCCTTTGAAGTGGGAATCAGAAGTCATCTTTCCCCTTTTCTGTTCCTTCAAAGCGTCCCCATTTTCTTACTGTTCCTGGATGTCACCTTCTGTCTACCTCTTATGTACAAGGTTGTACAGGGAGACAACAGGAGAAATCCTATTTTTCTTCCCATCTCAAGAATTTTTCTAGTTAGCATAATCTCCCCCAGGCTCTTTACCTTTGCCTTTTGAAGGACTCTTTTTGGCTTTATTTTATAAAGCTTTTTTCCCTCTAATTTCCTTAAGATAAGGCCTAGGAGAATGCTTAAAAGTGCCTTCATTGTTTTAGTCTTTTAAAAAGTTACCAACACACATTTCAGTGCTATAATGTACAATTAATAAAATATATACTTTTTATTAGTCATATTTATTTACACATTGATTTCTGATTGAAAAAGTCACATTCTCCTCAAATTTTCAGTAGAATCACAAACCTAATATGTCAGCTGCTCTTAAATGCTTCAGACACTTCAGCTATGCACCTACATTATTTAATTGATTAAAACATTACTCATTACAAAAGTATTTTAAACTATGGATTTAATGTATTTCTTTTTTTAAATTAAATTTGTTGGGATGACATTGGTTAATAAGATCATATAGATTTCAAATACACATTTCTATCATTCATGATCTGTAAGGCATTGCGTATTCTCCATCCAAAGTCAGATCGTCTTCCGTCACCGTATATTCGGCCCTGTTTACCCTTTAGTACCTTACCCCCTTCCTTCTGGTAACTATCAGACTGTGGTCTGTGTCTGTGAGTTTCAGCTTTATATCCTACATGTGAGTGAAATCATGGTTCTTAGCTTTTTCTGAATTAATTTCACTTGGCATGATATTCTCAGGATCCATCCATGTGGTTGCAAATGACAGTGTTTCATCTTTTCTTATGGCCAAGTGTATTCCATTGTGTATATGTGCCACATCCTCTATCAAAGGACCATAAATGATGCTGCAGTGAACATAGGGTTTCATTATCTGCAAATAAATGGTTTCACATTTTTTGGGTAGATACCCAGAAGAAGGATAGGTGAATCATACGGTAACTCTAGTCCTAGTTTTTTTGAGGAACTGCCATACTGTTTTCCATTGTTGTCTCTACCGGTTTACATTCCCACCAGCCGTGAGTGAGAGTTCCTTTTTCTCTACAACCTCTGCAACACTTGTTATTACTTGTCTTGTTGGTAATAGGCATTCTAATAGGTGTGAGGTGGTGTGGTATATTGTTGTTTTGATGTGCATTTCCCTAATAGCTAGTGTAGTTGAACATCTTTTCATATATCTGTTGGCCATTTGTAAGTCTTCTTGGGAGAGGTGTCTGTTCAGGTCCTCTGCCCATTTTTTTAATTGGATTGCTTGTTTGGTGTTGTGTTGTATGAGTTCTTTATATAGTTTGGATATTTACCCCTTGTTGGAGCTGTTTTTTACAGGTATCATCTCTCATTAGGTTGGTTGTCTTTTTGTTTTGTTGTAAGTTTCTTTTGCTGTGCAGAAGCTTTTTAGTTTGATACAATCCCATTCATTTATTTTTTGCCTTTACTTCCCCTTGTCTTTGGGGTCAAATTCATAAGATTTGACCAAGGTCCATTAAGTTTAGTACCTGTGTTTTCTTCTATGTAATATATTGTTTTAGATCTTGTATTTAGGTCTTTAACCTTTGCATTTTAATTATGATGTATTTTGGAGTGGGCCTCTTTGGGTCAGTCTTACTTGGAACTTTCTGTGCTTCCTGGACTTGTATGTGTACTTCTTCACCCGGTTAGGGAAGTTTCTGTCATTCTTTTTCACATAGGTTTTCAGTTCCTTGCTCTCTCTTCTCCTTTTGGCATCCCCATGATGTGAATGTTGGTACCCCTAAAGTTGTCCCAGAGGCTCCTTACACTATCCTCATTATTTTGGATTTTTTTTTTGGTTCTGATTGGGTATTTTTTCTTTCCATATATTCCAAGTTTCTGTTTTAATTCTCAGCTACATCTACTCTACTGTTGATTCCCTGTAAATTATTCTCCATTTCAGTTAGCATATCCTTCATTTTTGACTGGTTCTTTTATGGTTTCCATGTCCTTTTTTTCCTATGTTGATGAAGCTCCAGGTTCATCTACTCTTTGCCTAAGTTGATTGAGCATCTTTACATCAAGTGTTTCGAACTCTGCATCTAATACATTGCTTGTCTTCGTTTTGTTTTGTTTTGCTCTTCCACTTTGGACATATTTCTTTGTCTCCTCATTTTGGCAGCCTCCCTGTGTGTGTGTCTGATGTATTAGGTAGAACTGCAGCATCTCCCAGGCTTGGTAGAGTGGTCTAATGTAGTAAGTAGGTGTCCTGTGGGGTCCAGTGGCACAGCCTCTCTGTTCACCCAAGCTGGGCACTCCAGGTTCCCCTCTTCGCCCCAGTGTGGGCTGTGTACGCCATCCTCTTGTAGTTGAGCCTTGTTTGCTTTTGGCACCCCCCGGGTTGATCAGCTGCAACAACTGGCTGAGACTATCATTGAGGATCAGCCATGTAGGGCCCACCCCACAGAACAGGAATGACTTCATTGGGACTCTGGTGCCCACTAAATATGCCCCTTGAGTGTGTCGCTTCTTGGGGTGTTTGGGTGGTGCTTCAGTGTAGTCTGAACCTGTCCATGGGGAGGTGTAGGCCAAGGTCAACCACTGCTTGTGTTCTACCCAGAACTGCCCAACATGAGCTACTAAGCGAGTTGCTACTTGTGCTGGGCTTGTAGTTACACAAAAGGGTTCAGGCTGTGAACCAAAGCCTGCTACCACTAGTGCCAGGCCTAGGGACACTTAGCAAGAGGTGTAGGGCATGCTGAGGCCAGATGCTGCTTATTTGAAGGATTTTAGGAAAATCTGAAGTATGAGCCAAGATAGAGCATTTTTATGGAAAAGCCACTGGAAACAGTTGGGTGGACCTACAAGTTGGGTGGGGGCCGAGTCTGAAGGAATGACCAAGATAAAGGTGAATAGCCAGGTTGATGGAGGCTTAGATATGGCACCCTGCTGCCAGCTCCATGCGAGAAAGGCTCAGGAAAGGAACAGTGGCCTCTGCTATCACTTCTTTCTGGGAGAAAGCTGCCCCTCCAGCCCTCATCCTAATGCCAGACAGTTAAGTTTTCCCCTATGTTCCTGGTGCCTTTTGAGCTGCTACCCCAGTGCTGGAGCTCAGAAGGAGTGAGACCAAGTAGATCTGTGTGTGGGCTCCTTAAGAGGAACTGCCTGGTATTCTAGATGCCCTCTGTTTCCCTCACCCTCAGTCCCCACTGGTTTTTTACAGCCAGAATTTATGGGGACTTCTCTTTCTGGCACTGGAACCCTGGGCTGGGGGACCCGGGACCCCTCACTCCTCAGCAGGGACTTCTCTAGCTGAGATATCCCTTCCGGTATCTCAGAAGGTGTAGAACCAGCCTGCTCCTCTCTCCACCACTCCTACCAATCTTGCTGTGGCTTCTTTTTTATATCCTTAATTGTAGGATTCTGCTTGATTTCAGGTGGTTCTGAACAATGGTTGTTCTGCCTTTCATTTGTAATTTTGATGTGGTTGAGTGAGGTTGTGAGTACTGTGTTTTCTAGCTTGTTCTCAATTCAGTGCCTGTTCTCCTAATTCTGTACTGCCTCTGTATTTTGACTTTTATTATAATGCTCCAAGCAATAAATTTTCCATGGAGGTCAGTGCTGAGTGAAAGGTTTCCTCCTGAATGCCTGGCTGTTTCCTTTATTAGAAAATAAGTAATTCATAAATCATATTGCTGCTCTCTTTTGTGTTTCTAAGTTGCCATGAACCTCAGATTAGTCTATCTTTAGCCCAAGATTCTGATGTTATTTGTGCCAACGGCTTTGATGTTTTTATTTTTATTTTTGTAATGCATATGTGTTTTATTAAAAACAAGTCTTTTTGAAAATTGACAGGATGTAAACAATAAAATACTGGTATTATATTAATAAAATAAAATCAGATAAGCTCTTGTTCATTTATTTTTCCAAACTTTGATTTCTGATTGATTCACTTATTTCTTTTATTTAAACAACAACTTGACTCAACCCTATGATTTTTAGAATTTGAAAACATTTTTGATAACTCAGTGAGTAGAAGTTTATTTATCTTTTTTACATAATGAGTCTTTCTGACTTCAAGAGGAAGGTAATTATATTCGTTATTTGGACGTAAATAAAGAATAACTTTAGGTAAATATATTGGGTGAAGAATGAAGAGCCAAAGCAATGCATTTTTAACTCTTTAATTTTAAAACATTTAATATATAATGTTACATTGTTGTCTCTTACCATGTAACATTATGTATTAAATATGTTTTAAAATTAAAAAATTAAAAATGTATTGCTTTGGCTCTTTATGTCTTTTTGTTTTATAGTCTATAAAACCTATATGAGAACCTTTTATTTCTAATTATTAATCTCTTGCGTTAAAGTAGTATAGTTCAATTCTACTTTACAGGCTATATTTTCCCAATTTTCTAGTTCTCCCTTCATTGTACATATTTTACAGGTGTTGGTGTATGAACGATTTGCATCTTTAATGTACTAGGAAATTTTTAAGCTTTGAAATTTCTAAAACTCTAAGAATTTATATCTTGGTTAATTTATAAATTATAAATACTTCCTGTTAAAATATTTAAAAGGCTTTAAAAAACAGATTTAGATAATCTTTAGTAGATATATTTCCTCAATAGTATCATTATTTAGAATTCATAAGCATTTTTGTTACTACAAAAGCTGTAGGATTTTTAGGTTTTTACGGAAATTACCAATAAATAGTTGGAGGTAATTACCTATAAAGTTGGAAATGGATACTTTTAATTCATTTCAGATCTGAGGACAAATCTGCATTGAACAAAATCACTTTTAGTTAAATCAGATTCAGTTTGGAGACCAATGGAAACAGTGGATAAAACAAGCCAATTTTTAGTAGTTTTAGAGTAGATTTTCTAGTGTAAAAAGCATTGTTCAGGTGATGGGGAAGAATCATCTGAAGTAGCTCTGAAGAAAATTAGATTGATTTTTTAAAAAAATTTGAAATAGTGAATCTCGATGACCAGAGCCTAATGAAGGAAAAGTGCCTGTGCCCAGTAGCAGCGAACCCTGCCTTCCCTGTGCTTGTTCCTGTCCTTGTTTCACGGAGAACATGAAGCTGCCTAGCGCGGCCAGGCCACTGAGAACAACTGGTGAAATGCCGCGTCAAGGCTCTTTTAGCTGTTCGCAGCTCACTGCCGGGAACTGAATGCTGGAGCATCAGTTTGAAAATAAAAAGACTCTAATGAGTTGGGGTCTTTATGTGCCTGGTATTCTTGGCAGTGATTAACAGTAGGGGGTGCACAGAAGGTCAGCAGCTCTTCTTTTTGGAGGTCAGCTGAACATATCCACCTGCTAAGATCAAACTAATGTGGCTTTGGTGTTAATATCTCAGGTAGCTGTAGTGTATTTGGGATTGTAGCTTTGAGAGATTATGAAAAGGGAACTCACATGTGAACTCTTTAATGAGAAAAGGTGGGATTTACAGATACAGCAATTACCCTTTTTTCTTACAGGCAGATGGAAACAGACTTTTGTTCCCAAAATATTTTATATGTTATATATCAAAGTTTTTTTTTCCCCTCAAATAGTTTTATATGTGTATCATGAAATATTTTTTTCCTTTGTTTTTCTTTTTGTGCTGTTTTTAAGTGCCAAAGATTATTTGAGGTAAATTATTCTGAAACTGATGCTAATCTCAAATTTTTTAATTTAGATACAGTGATATATGATTAATATATTTATGTTCATTCCATAGTTTTCTGATTATTTTACTGGATATTTCAATGGACAATATTGGCTTTGGTGGATATTTCTTGTCCTTGGTGAGTTTATTCTTAATGTATTTCACTTTGATTAATTTGCATTTAGTTTAACTTTGGTATTTCCTAAAATTATAAGATGTAAATACATTGTGTTACAACTTAGTGAAAATAAATATTGTACTGTAAAATTCTTATATCCAAACAATTATATCATCATCTCAGCTATTCAAATAATTCTGCATAGTACACCAGATTTCTTAGGTTGAAAATTCAGAGCCATTTAATTTAAACAGTCACTGGTTTAATGAGAATCAAATACAAGAAAACCAGAAAATCATAGTATGATTAAAAAATAATTGTCTTTGTTATTTATCTTGAAAATACACATACATAGTTTCTTTTAATGATTTTCAAAAATGTTGAGAGTAGGATGGTCTGAAGTTCTCCCCATTCTGTTATTTTTGGATCTTGGAAACATTCTTTACACCTTTGAAATGCGCCCTGCATCAGTCATTGGTCTGCTGGGCATGAGGAAAGGTTTCGTGCCTGATGATCACTGTGTTTCTGTCGTGGCCTTCTTACAAGGAATTTCTTTTTATTAATATTGAAGAATTTTGGATGTCCAATTTTTGTCCCCTTGTGTTTTTTTACTTTAGATGTATGATAGTTAATCTTAAAATCTCATTATACGTTTAACCCACATTTCAAATTTCTTTACTGACATGAAGTATACATTTTGTTTCTACTTAGGTTTGAAAGCCCACATTTTTCTAGTAGAATAATTGTACCAGCAAATAATAGCATTTCAGTAGGTGGCAGTCTTCTCCTGAGTTTTTACTTAGTCCTGCTACTGGATCTTTAGGATCTTTTGAGACACAAATTCATAGTGGTCAGTTAGGGTCACCAGTTAAGGTCACTAAAGATCCTGGATTCTTTCTCAAATAATCATAGTGAAGTTACTCTCTTCTCTGGGGAGTAAGACTCATATTGGGTTCGGCCAGTTTTTTATATTGTTAATTATATTCTGTCTGAATTCTGCATTTTCAAATTGAGTTTCTTAAAAACAGATAAAGTTTATTAAGTAGTTAAGCATATTAATTGAGTATATTTGCTTATCTATATATTAAGAGCTGGAGGAAGCTTGAGGAGGCAGCTGTGGGGCAGAGTGGAATGCGGAGGGCAACCCTAGTTCCTTATCAGAGCCGCTGCCTAGTACTTTGGGGAATGTGAAAACTTAATGCATGGTAAAAACGTGACTCTCACATATACGCAAGGATGTTGAGCACATTATACAATTCAGAAATAATAGCTGCTGAGTGATTGGTCTCTAGGTATGAATTGGCTTATTTTGGAAAATGCCTAAGCAGAACAAAGTATGTCTTAGAAACAGCAGCTTCATAAACAAAAGAAGGGATTTCGCAAGTAATTTTGGTTTACATGATACAAGAATACTTTTACATTTGGGTCACAACGTCCATTATCTTTGCACAGCACCTGCAAGGACGCAGGGTGGGATTCAGAGAGAGACTCACAGAAGGAAGGCGTTAGGATTTGGGAAGCAGATGGGGTCCGATTTAGCTGGAATTTATGCCACTCGTTTAAGTCATTGTTTATATAGCTCTTCTATCTTTCCTCTTTTTAGTGCTTTGATTACTTGGAGTTGGGGTACAAATTTAGTTTGGGACTTTGCATTTTAAACTGGCAAAGTCTTCCTCCTTGTGAGGGAAGTTGCATGCATACGTATCTTCTGGTTTTGTTTTTGCACCCACAATTACTTGGTTAAAACTTTACTGGAGTTAATCAATGTTTTCCTTAGAATTGTATGCTTAAATATATCAAAGACTTTAGTCTACTAATAATGTTATTGCTTTCTATACTTAATCATTAATAAAGATACCTGTGATATAAATGGCTATTATTTTCAAATACTGTTGTACTGAGGAGAACACTGAGATAGATATGAGATATATCTCAAATCATTTAAGAAATTACTAGAGTGGCCACTTTCCAAGTCTTCTTTCTTGATTCTTCTTAATGTTTATTATAAATTAGTCTTTTATTACTTGAAAATACGAACTAATAATTAAAATTATTTATGGAATGCACATATGTTCAAGTATAGATTTTACCGATGACAGGCACTTGATATTGCCAGACAGGCTTATTAGTTTTATCCCACAATTGTTAGCATTAATTTGTGTACATTCTCTCTTGAACACTATTTTATAACAGTAAACTTAGTTTGCTTAGTAGATACATTAATTGAAAATTTGTTAAAATGGGATTTCTAGGAGTTGAAACAGTTTAAGTGCATTAGGTAACTTTGCTATTTAAAGAAATTATTTAATGTATATTTTTGTGTAATTCTGAATTTTCATGGCTGGGTTTGCTTTAATTTTTACTTTAGATATATCTAGGATTAGTAATTTGAAATAATTTTTAGATGGCAGTAAATTTTTATATTTCCCCATGATGGAGTTATCATTAGAGTGTAAAATATACTATGGAATAAATGGAATTCTACAGATAAATTTCTTAAGCCAAGAAGATCGTGTTTATAATTGTCTACTTTAAATATATCATGACCCCTTACTGTCTAAGAACAAAATATAGCTGTATTATTTCAACCTTTTCAGGCCTGCTCCTTTTCTTCAGAGGATTTGTTAATTACCTAAAGGTCAGAAACATGTCTGAAAGTATGGCAGCTGCTCATAGAACAAGATATTTCTTCTTATTGTAGAGGTAAGATATATTAATAGATTAACTCTTTTTATTCCCTTTATTCAAATTCCCCAGATACATATTAAATGCTTAATGTGTGGTCATGTCATTTACTCAGATTTAGCAAATTTAACATTTTATGCTGCAAACAGCTTATTGAAATTTAATTAGTTGTGAACTGTTAAAGATAACTTAGATTTATAAAATGAAATTTCATAAAGTTTAGTTTTTTAAATATATGAGTAAACTGAAACTTTGACTACATGATACATACAAAGTAACCACAAGCACAAACTTTGAAGGCTTTAAAAACAAAATATGACAAAACACTTACACAGAAGGTATGAGCATTTTTGCATAAAAGGACGTGACATCCACATAGACATCTAGTTAAAGGGACGAAAAGTGAATCTGTGATGGGAAAGCATTTTGCCGTGCACTGATGTTGACAAACTGGATCAAGGAATGAAAGTTGTGTGAAAAATAGGAGCTCTGTTACTGTTTTCTCAATGTGTGACAGTTTGTATCAACAATGAAGGCTACAACGTGAGTAAAGGGAAACGCAAAGAAATCAGCAGAGGTGGTCTTGAGTTACCCAGTGCGTTTCTGGAGGCTGTGTAGTCAGATCATTCATTCATTGTGCAGCTAGTGGTATCTTCACACAAAGAGACCTCATATCCCTACCCTGTATCATAGTTGTTAAAGCAAGTACCATACACTTCGTTTCTATAAATGATTGGACCTTTAAAGTATTTGAACAGCAAAAGACCTCCTAAAACACTTCTGGATGTATCTACTAGTACAGAGTGTCTCAAGGTTGCTATATACTAGGTGTATTCTTTTAAAAAATTGTATAGTTTGTGATTTGGTTGCTTACATTTTATTTTTAACTTATATGACTTTTATGTAAACTCAATTATTTTCTAGATGGTCTCCTAAACTTTAGAATATATTCTGGTCTATGCTACTCTGTTATTTTTTTTATCAAAATAACATTGTATACTTGATCTAATACAGCTGTAAAATGGGGTTTCATTGTATTATCATTTAGATAAATGCAACTTAATACATTTTAAGACTAACTCTTTCTTTGTCTCTAGACTACATCAACCAGACATTCCTTTCTTACACCAATGTGAAATTTCCAGATCATCTTGTAAACCTACAACTTTAATAGGATAGAAGACTACTAATAACAGAAGACAAATTAGTTAAGAAAAGATAGAGCTTCAAAATTGAATGGCAGAGTGGTTTATGACTAAAAACCATTTCTGTTCATTCTCTTAAATATTTATATTTCATTTGTTTTGTGCGTTTGCATATGTGTCCCTTTAAAAGATTTGCATATACTTGAAAGACACCATGAATTTGTAGCTGTAAAGTCCATTCACATTTGGTTAATCAGTGTTTGATATAATTGAAAGAGTTGAGTGGTAAACAGTCTGCTAGCATGTAAATGCCATTGACTCCTGACCTGACGTTTAGTATAATAAAATTGAAATTATTAACCATGTCAAATGCTTTAGTTTTCTGGCTCTTAGATTCATCTGGTAACTACACATGGAATATCCTTTGTTACAAAGTTTTTTGGAAACTGCAGTGCTGATTATTAGAAAAGCTATGTCAGATTTTGGAATATGATTTTACATCATTATTTAGCAAAGCTCTTTCTGTAAATAACCATGCGTAAATTACTTTCTGCATTGTTTTCTTAGAAATTGTGTCTAGATATCTTCACATTAATTTTAAAATAAGTGAACTTAATATATAGAGAACATTTGGGTGTTAAAGATGGTTTGTTTTAGGACAAATTTTAAGAAAAGGTGTGTATTTCACATATCCTTTATAAGAAAAAAATTTTTTAAGGGACATGCCAGTTTTCGGGATCCTCAAATGAGAAGCTTGGCTTTTAGCATTGCCCACCTTAGAGAGTCTTACAGGAAACGGTTGTATTACATATTATATTTATTTCATTGAAGACATTTTTAAAAATTACTTTTTTGAATAAGATTCTCATTTGCATTTGTCTTTTAAAAAGCCAATAAAAGTATCTTTTCTGTATCATTGTAATAATTTTTAGATATTTAGTTTGTTAAATTTAGTGAATAAAAACTTGTGCTATTATCTCTAGCTTTGTGATTATAGGATTAACTTGTAAAAATTATATCCTGATATGCAAAATATGTTTTCAAATTATGGAAATGTGTCTGTGGAGTGTAGGGGTCTGGGGTGTGTTGTGTGTTGTGAGAATGTGTGTGTCGCCATTGGCACAACTGGAATCTACATTCATAAGCAAATCATTTTGTGTCTCATTTATTTTTCTTTTCCGTTATGTCTTTGCTTTTGAGTGCCACCATTAAAAACACTCAGAATTATCTCGTCTTTTAAACTTAAAAATCATTTAATACAGTTAAATAGACCATATAAAATTGATTGTTTATTATTAGACACTGACTACTACTAAAAGATAACACCTAAAACTATTCAGGGACATTTTTCCATTTCTGGAAAAAAATTTATTATGCTTTATAACTTCTTTTGTATTTATCTGTATTTTCTGATTTACTTCATTGTCTTTGATAATAAAACATACATTTTTGTTTTTGCTAATTGTGCCTTCTATTTTTTGTTTGCCCTCATTCAGTCTCCTTCCCTGCCTAGAGTTTTACTGTTGATTTAAAAAGTACCTGTGTCACACCCCGTGGAGTAGAACAACAGCATGGAGTACAGAAAACAATAAAACAATAAATAATGTAATTGCCTGATTTGGAAATTAATTAAAATTAGAATGTACTTATAAGAAATGTAAACTCATACTAGATCCCTTCTCTCTTTCATATTAATTTCCTAGAGACCTATACTATGTTCTTTTAATAATTTTTAACTGAGTTAAGCTATGATGCATGCTGATTTTAAATGATTAGATCAGATGTTAAATATCAGTTTATTAAAATTACATTTTAATTTTTGTGTTACTTATACTTGGTTTCTGAATATGGATGTGTCACTTTTGATCCAACATCAAAATTTCACTTTTTGTTTTTATTTTTGTTTCTCCAAATCTGTAAGATTCAAGTGTCTTTGTTACCTAATTCTCAATAATTGGTAACAATTCAATGGTAGCCTTAAATCTCATCATCCAAGAAGGGGAATTGGAATATTATTTTTAAAAACTTAACACCATCTTTCATGAAACCCTGCTTTTTTTCTTTCCCTTCATTCCTGTGAGCTGGGATTGAACAGCTGCCGGTGTGTTTTGGGGACACACTCACCTTTGCACTCTGCCTTAAAGATTGAAAATCAAACCCTGTTAGGGTGTCTAAATTTTTGAATGAATGTGAACTTGGGCTTGGAAGTTACTGAAAAAGAAGTTTATTAAATTATTTCTATTATATTTGAATAAGCTAGTTATGGCCAGATAATCCATTTTTATGTGTTTATATAAGCTGATATTAAGATAAAAATATATTTTCTGTGTTAAAGATAGACTTTAGAAATTTAAAAGTAAAGACAAATGTATTATATTCAGTAAAAATGAAAATCTTTGTTTACTAGAAAAAAATACTAATCTAGCCCCTTTTTTGAGTCTATAAGATGTATGCCATGCCTTTGAGATTGTTTGTGATTTTCAACCCGTTAAAACAACAGTCACTCATATTTCCAGTGAAACCTCTCCTAACAGTAAAAGTGGAGTCCAAAAAATCCAATTGTAGAAAAATACAAGGTTCCTTAATTTTTTTCAAGTAGTCTGTATTGCCCCCCCAAAGCACAAAAGCAATTACTGATAATGCATCTGATACTTTATGTAACCAGATTGACATGTATCCTGAGCTTGCTCAGAACAGCCTTGGTTATTTCACTTTCTCAGCTTAAGAGGGCATCTTCTCACTCTCAAGTGGTCCTAATTTGGAGGATTAATTATGTGATCGCTGTATATATAGCTGTACACTGGACTGGCAAGTGGCCGCCTAAACCCCCTGCCCTTTGAGAAAAGGAACTGGAGTGCTAGGGCAGGAGCCAGCTGTTGCTGCCGCAGCCTTTCCCAGCCAAATCATTTGCTTGGTTTGTAGGATGCGTGTAGTATCTTCTTTTAAAAATAGAAGTTGTTGTATTTGAATGATTCTAGCTTATGATAAATAGTAAACAATGAGCTTTATATTTTTAAACTGCTGTTGTGTGTTATTTTGTTTATTTAATTCTTCAAATAGTTGTATGGAATATTAGTGTATTATTTTTTAAAACCTCATCTTGATAAAGTTCAACAGTTAGATGATATTGTGCCATTTATTATTATAGGAATGTCCTTGCCCATATATAAAATATGCTGATGTGTTTTATTGTTAATAAAGTTCTATAGATGTGGAAATGTGAACCTGTCGATGCATCCTTTTGAAAATCAGTTTGATTCACATACAACGACCTTTGCCTCACTAAAATGTTTATATGGCAAATCACGTTAAGATTTGTGATAAAAACAACTGGCATAGAATTAGGTTGGAGTGTGCAACATTAACTTGTCACAGTATTTTATTTTTAAAAGATTGTATTTATTTTTAGAGAGGAAAAGAGGAGAAGGGGAGAGAAACATCACTCTGTGGTTGCCTCTCACGCACCCCCTACTGGGGACCTGGCCTGCAACCCAGGCATATGCTCTGTCTGGGAATTGAACCAGCAACCCTTTGGCTCCCAGGCCAGCACTCAGTCCACTGAGCCACACCAGCCAGGACTTGTCACTATAATTTATATGTTAGGAAATAGAGTGCAGTTTAATTTTAATAAATACAAGAAAACCAGTTTAAAAAAATAGTTTATGTTCATTTCTATTTTCTATTTTCCCAAAGATCAATGGTTACTATAGGTAAGACCTGCTTTGGGGGACTTGTATTCTTACTTGGGACATGAGACCTTAAGTGTAAAAACTTTCAAGCGTTTTTTTTTTTTTTTTTTTTAGAAATCAAAAAGTTTATTTTATACTTCATAAGAGTTAAAAAGGTAATGTTTATCTTGAACTCATCATGTTTGCTTGTTTTTACTTTCTCGCTATTTTCAGGGTAGCTTTCATTCACAAAAACCATTAAAAAGTCTATTAGATAAATAGAAAAGAGATAGGGTATTCCCCTTTTAACAGCCCAGATAGTAAACTAAAATCACACACTCCTGGTTCACAGAATCTTAGAAGCTGTTACCCTCTCTCTCACTCCTATTAATAAACCATCCTATTTCCCCATGCTTTTTGCATTTTTTTGTTGTTCTTGTTAAATTAAGTCCACACTTTACCTTCAGTGATGTGAGAAGGGATATAGGCTATCTTTAGAACATGCTATAGTTTTTTTTTCTTTTAGCCTTAACAGAAGCATAGTAAGATCAGCAAGTAAAACAGAAGTTTGCCCAAAGCTCCAAAGAAATTTGGAGGGCAGCCTCTCTGTCTCAAATAGGGAAAGTTGTAAATAACCTTGCTGGAAAACAGCTCTTCAGAAGTGCATGAATAGTACATGTGCATAAATAACTTGTGCAGAAATATATTTATTATTCCTTTTGCATCAAACCTATTTTCTCAGCCATTTAAATTCCTGCATAATGACTTGGTTTGGCTTTGCAATCTGTGGTGCTTGAGCTCCAGAATATTAGTTCACATCTTATCCATTCAGAGATAAGACCTGAAGACTTCGTTGCTGGCGAGCATTGGTGACCACTCATACTCAAACAATGGGTAGTGATGAAATAAGTGTGAAATGTCACTTTCTAAGTCCAGGTTTTTTAAATGATGAGCAGGCTATAGAAAACGCACGTAGGGTCAGTTCATTGAGATGTAGGGACTTTTAAAAGATTTCTGAGTCTTCCATCTCCTTATTCCTATGGGATCTCCTGGGATGCATCCTTGGTTGAATGATTCTTGGGACCTCTCCAGAGCTGGGATTGTCACTCAGTTTGGTGCATCCTAGTCAGCTGGAGTTCTGAGAAAATGACCGTTCGAGCCTCAATTTCCAGAGGTTCCAGCATAGTGTATCAGCCCCCTGACAGCGCGCTTGCGTCTCATAGTCTGAGGTCCTGGGAGTTGGGTCTTAGTAGAAGAACCTATTCGTTTCCCAGCATCGTGTCCCTCTAGAGCTGGTTCCTGGCATACACGTGACAGAAAGTTACAAACGTTGGGAGCGGTGTGTCAGTCAGACTTCTTGCAGGGAAAGGAAAAGGCACATAAGGCAGAGCTTATAAGAGTTAATGAGCATTCCTTGTGTGCTTAATGACCTCTGAGAGGGGGCCCTTCCTTGCCATGTCTTGATACACACAATGACTGTGCAGGACCGTCACCAGGGCCATGTGCGCGCATGGGTGGAATGGAGCTCTTGGTGCTGAGGTGTCAACTATTTTCCTCACAGTCTTCTAAAGCAAATGCAATTGGATTATAGAGGTGATTTTTCTTGCCTGAAAAAAATAAGTATTTTCTTCACACTAGCATCTCCCCTTCTCTGTGCTTGAGGGGTTTGTGGGTTATTAAGAGAGGCAGCTTTGAGTAACAAAGACTGGGTTTCGGAGCCGGATTTAACCCTGGACTCAAATTTCAACTTTTACGCAAGCCAAGGCAATTTGCTCAACCAAAATCTCAGTTTCCTCACCTGTCTTTTTGGGAAGCCAAGCATGTACCTCAGGATTAGGTGAGATTTCCGCAACAGAAAATGTTGGGCATTATCATTACATCTCTGCCGAGGGTGTTTCCTGACCAGGCTGGTTGCATTAGCAGATGCCTCCGGGACTTGGAATAAGCCCTTGGGCATTGTATCCACCAGCCCCTCTGAAAAGCATGATTATGATAGGGTCATGTTGACCTAGCCTTGGCTCCTGCCATCTTCTCTGGGGCAAGTAGAGCTCAAGCAAAAGTTGCTTAGATGACAATTGGATATTACAAGACAGTCATGCAAAGAGAGGAAGGGAGTTTCTTGTTTACCAAGCAAAGCCATAAATAAAGCAAGCACCTCAGCTGATAGGAAGAGAGGAGGCTCACACAGCTCTTGTGCTTGAAAGTTGGAGGGCCTGGATGTCAGTCCATCATAGTTTATTTGTGAATTTATTGGATGATTGGTGACTCTGCTTTTGCTCAGGGCAGTAAAATTCTGGTTGGGAAGTGATCAGCAAATAAGTTGGTCACCAGCCCTTGTCCGGTAGCTCATTTGGTTGCAGCATCATCCCATACACCGAAACGTTACGAGTTGGACCCCAAGTTGGGGTGTGTATGGGAGGCAAACAGTCGCTGTTTCTCCTCCTCTCTCTAAAATCAATAAACATATTTTTTTTAAGTTGGTGGGCAGGTCGTTTGATTCTAGGATAAATTTCTTAACCAGCTTTCTCCTATAATCATGGGGTCTTAATCTTGGATTTATTTTTAAAAATGTTACTATGAGAGAGAAGCACTTAGATGAGAGTTAAGTCCCCTAGACCCCACCTTGATCATAATTTGGGTCAATTAAATTATTTTGAATGCCAGTTCATAGTTCTGAAGGGGGTGATGCTGTTGCCTCCACATGATAGTCTCCTCCTGCCGTATTCTTCTCCCCACCTTCTAAAAGAACTTAGATTCCAAGTCTTTGGAGAAGCCTTACTCATCTCGGGTTCTGGTCCCTTTGGTTCCCCAAGCCCTGTGCGTGGTTTCTGTCAGGCACCATCACTGGTTTTGGAGTTACTGTCCTTGGTGGTAGATACATTTGATTCAGCTTCGCATGCCTCCCCCACACCTAGCACAGAACTGGAAACGCCGGATGGATGGATGGATGGATGGATGGATGGATGGATGGATGGATGGATGGATGGGATGGATGCTTGGTGCTAGTGGCTGTCTCTGTGTGAACCAGGGTATGTGAAGTGCATTCTGTCTTTTCATTCGGAGTCTAACGGATGAAGATTTCCAATCAGGAAAATGCTAGCGTGAGGTAGGAACAAAGGTCAGGTGTCCAAGCAGTTGAACTCTTGGAGAATCAGGGCATCCTTCACTACGGAGGTGACCCGAGAGCTGGATCTTAAAGAAGAAGTAGAAATGTGCAAGTATGTTTAAATGTGTCATATTTCGCCATCTTTTGCATGATGCTCTCTCCTCCTCCATCCTCTGCAGAGGGACGTAGTTGTCTTTTCATTCATGACACTTCACCTAAGCCTCTTTTTTCAACCACTTTCTACTGTGTGTCAACAGTAATTGCATTCATGACTCATCACTTCTCAAGGACAGCATCCCTGTTTACTTCATAGCTTCTAACATGCCTTACACATGGCGAGCGCCTTTCAAAAAATCCAGTCCAACATTTTTCACATGTCGTTGTGAGCCCCTACTTTGCCACTGCAGATACTATTAGCTTCAGAAGTCAACTGTGGGATAGCCACCCTTTTCTTCAGATACAAAGGTCTCCTGTGTCTCCCCTTCTCGTGTCTGCCAACTCCCTTCCTCTCTCCAGGAGTGACCGCTGTTAACAATTTGTTATTTACTCTTACAGACTTTTTCCACATAACTTTTGTACTAGGGTCACCGTGTGTTCCATGATGACAGAAGACCTCTGGTCCCAGGTACAGTGTTGGAGATGGTGTACCTTTTTCTCTGTTTCCCGAGACAGCTCTCAGGAGGGAGTACTAGTTCTTCTTGCAGATTTAGTTTAATTTTCATGAGAAGCCAACATTTATTTCCTTGGTTCTTTAGTCTCTAGATGAGAGTGACTGTGGCTTCAAGGTCTTTGGGAGCTGGGCTCTTCCAGGATTTGATATTTGCATTTAAATATCCTGCTTTATGGTCTAGCTACTTTCTGGTGAGAAGTTCCTCTGGAACCTGGTGGTTAGGAGGAAAGGGTTTGGCATTGCCAACATCCTGCCTGAGTAGGCTTAGAGAAGACCAAAATGATCCTGGGTTTAACATTCATTTCCCTTGTTTCAGAACCAAATTTGTGTCCCAGGATGTAGCTGTTACTGTTCCCTGGCTAAACAAACTGACATTAAGAACCCCTCCTTTCCTCTTCCCAAATTGTTTCTGCCTTGAGCTCAAGTATGACATCTGGAGCTGAAGCAGCTCTCTTGTGCTGTTGAGGCAACAGCCGATAGACTAAGGATACAGAGTGGTAAGGAGCCTGGTCCTCCCTGGCATTGCAGAGCGCCGCTCCAGGCCTGGACCTGCCTACCTTCAACTTTTTGGCTCAATGAGAAAAATTAATTCCTATTAGCTTAGTTATTGTTAGTTTTTTTTTTCTTTTTTTAAAATTTGTTTTAGTTTTTTAATTACTGATATTTGGGAGCAATCTAAACTGATACATAGGCATAACTGTCCATTGCCCCAGAATTGACAGGAAAGCTGCTCAGGCCATCCGAAGCCAATAGCATGCAAAAGAAGAGTTGCAAGTCTTACCTGCCCACAGCGGGTTCCTGACCAACCCAGCTCCTGGCACTTGGTTTATTGATTGCCAATCAGCTCATGACAGTGGCATTGTATAAGCAGTGGGTTTATATCTGCGTGATTTACACCCTTTCATTCTCTTCATTTTCCAGTTGAGGCCTACAGAGAGACCAACTTCCCAACCGTTGCTTTCAGAGATGGGTTTAGTGAA